CAGGTACTGAAGTAATCTATTACTCTCTCATCGGAGTAACAGTATCATGACACTCTCCTGTAGTGTGTCATGTAGGTTTTTAGTGCATGTCAATGGTCTGCAAAGGCTAAAATCCCAGTGTTCCCTCCAGAGTCAGAGTCCGCCCTCCACTGGACTCCCTTTTTTGTGAAACTTGTATCATGTGTCCTCCTTCAGGCTCGTTGTGAGCAGTGCAAAGTGAACATGGAGGCTGTGGAGAAGCAGCTGGAGGAGGAGAAGCAGAACGTCCTGATCGCTGAGAGCCAGAGAGGAATCAGGACAGGTACAGATCAGAGACTCTGCTTTCATAACGTCTGATCAGCAAAATGTGTTTATTTTTAGTTTTTACTGCAGGGCGCTTTACTGACGTTCACATGAGTCTGATTCCCCTTTGATTTTATTCATTTTTTAAATTCTTTATTTGGAGTCACATTCATTATAAGTCAGAATTTTGAGATGTTGAAAAAAAAGTCTAAAATCTGAAAAAAGTAAAATTTCTGCGATTTTGAGAATAGTCAGAATTTTGAAAAAAAAGTCAGAATTTTGAAAAAAAAGTCTGAATTTTGAAAAAATATATAAGAATTTTTAGATTTTGAAGAAAAGTCTGAATTCTAAAGAAGGAGAATTGTCCACATAAATACATACACACATACATACATACACAAACATACATACATACATACATACATACATACATACATACATACATACATACATACATACATACACACATACATACACACATACATACATACATACATACATACATACATACATACATACATACATACATACATACATACATACATACATACATACATACATATATACATACATATATTACTACTGCTGGTTTCAAGCTAAAATACCAGATGGCTAAAAGTCACCAGATTTCAAATGTACATTTTAAAAAGTACCCCCCTCTCCTCAGAGGGCGAGCTGTCGATGCAGCTGGAGGTCAGCCAGACGGAGGTGGAGTTTCTGAGAAGAAGACTGAAGCAGACGGAGGAGAAGCTGGAGACGGAGAAACAGAGCAGACAGCAGCTCGACTCCAAGGTGACGAGGAAACACACACACACACACACACACACACACACACACACACACCCACACACACACACACACACCACACACACACACACACACACACACACACACACACACACACACACACTGAAAGGAGGGATTATATGCAGATGTGGGAAGTAGTGGAGTACAAATACTTCGTTACTGTACTTAAGTGCATTCTTCTGGTATCAGTACTTTACTCCACTACTTATTACTTTGACTTCTTACATGTTGAACACAAATACCTGTACTTTCTACTTCTTACATGTTGAACACAAATACCTGTACTTTCTACTTCTTACATGTTGAACACAAATACCTGTACTTTCTACTTCTTACATGTTGAACACAAATACCTGTACTTTCTACTTCTTACATGTTGAACTCAAATACCTGTACTTTCTACTTCTCACATTTTCCAAACAGGCTGGTTCCTTTAGTTTGAATGTGTGTTTGGTGGCGTGATCATTATTATTTAGAGTCATTGCGTGCCTATTGATTTGAACACGATCCGTGTATCCATCATTTCCTGGTCTTCTCTAAAGAAGAGGGACCAATGAAAACGTTGTCATGTTGCCGTTGTTCAGCATGGAAACATTCATTAGCTAACAATGACATTATTGTTCTATTAATATAAAGGGAGGTCAGGTACTCTTTAAAACAGCTGCTAGTTATGGGTACTTTTTACTGAAGTACATTTCAAAGCCCTCTTTACTTTGACTTGAGTAAAGAAGTTTAGTCAGTACTTCTACTTTCACCAGAGTATCTTTAAACACGAGTATCTGTACTTCTACTTGAGGAAAGGATGTGTGTACTTTTGCCATCTCTGATTATATGACATTATGTGTGTGTGTGTGTGTGTGTGTGTGTGTGTGTGTGTGTGTGTGTGTGTGTGTGTGTGTGTGTGTGTGTGTCTGTGTGTGTGTGTGTGTGTGTAGGTGTCCGTGCTTCAGGCCCAGGTGGATCAGTCCAGACGGAGTGTGACGGAGTTGAAGCGTCATGGCCGCCGCGTGACCTCTGACCTCCAGGACGCTCGAGTGCTGACCGACAGTCTTCAGGGTCGCATGCACGAGCTGGACCGCAAGCAGAGGAGGTGAATGTGTGTGTGTGTGTGTTCTTTTCGACATTGTTCAGAGTGACCTTTTTTATGAAGATTTTATTTGTATTTTTTCATGTGTTTTTTGGACCTTTTTTACGACAATTTCCTGATAAATTTCCGGAATTTCAGATTTTTATTCAAAATCGCAGAATTTTGACTTTTTCCACATTTCAGATTTTTTTTTTAAATCTTAAAAATTCTGACTTTTTACGTTTCATAATTTTTTTCCAAATGATCTTATATCCTTTTTATATAATTTGTAGATTTTCTTTGGACTTATTTTCGAATTCTCTGACTATTTATGGCGCTACGTTAAATGCATGACTTTTACTTTTACACTAAAAGTATTTTTTACGCTTCAATAAAGGTTGTTCTGCAGCGTTTAACATTTCTGTGTGTGTGTGTGTGTGTGTGTGTGTGTGTGTGTGTGTGTGTGTGTGTGTGTGTGTGTGTGTGTGTGTGTGTGTGTGTGTGTGTGTGTAGGTTTGACAGTGAGCTGACTCAGGCTCTGGAAGGTGCAGATTCTGAGCGAGATCAGAAGGACAAAGCGTTTCTGGAGAACACGGCGTTAGGAGCGGAGATTTACACACTGCGACGCAACCTGCAGGTGTGTGTGTGTGTGTGTGTGTGTGTGTGTGTGTGTGTGTGTGTGTGTGTGTGTGTGTGTGTGTGTGTGTGTGTGTGTGTGTGTGTGTGTGTGTGTGTGTGTGTGTGTGTGTGTGTGTGTGTGTGTGTGTGTGTGTGTGTGTGTGTGTGTGTGTGTGTGTGTGTGTGTGTGTGTGTGTGTGTGTTTGCATAAAAACATCCTGCAGTGCATTAGTGTTAATGACGTATTGACACAACCACAGAGAGAAGATGATGAAATTGTGCGCTTTAAGGTGAAATATCAATGGGCCTCATTCATCACTTTAACCTGAGAGAGAACACAAAATCAATGGAGGGAATTACAGACGCCACGTTTGATTCATGAGCCGCTGTCACGCCGGGGAAACACACACATTACATCGTAGATTAATGAGAAACAGACGGAGCAAACACAATAATCTCACATTTAAGAAAGATTAAATCATTAACATACAGATTAAACAAAAACGAGCAGGTCAAGTTAACTTAAAAGTAAGAAACAGGCAAAGAAAATTAGTAAAATATGTGAAATAAAAGAAAAAAACATCATAATTTTGACAATAAACTTTAAACTGAGGTTGTTTATAAATCTTGAGGCATTATAATGCTTTTTGGACTCCTTTGTTTACTTCCAGAACATAATGACAGCGCTCCTATTGGCTAGCGCTCAAACATATTGTACGTGATAGGCTAAGGGGCGGGACATCTCTAAGCGGTTGACCAATCACAACAGAGCTAAAAAAATAAATACCACTATAATGTCAAATAAGAACTTTGGTAAATCTGTAAATACATTCCTCATGTTTTAACTCGTGTGTTTGAGTCTCTGAGCTCTCGGATGAACACAGTTGTTGCTTGTTAATACTATTAAGAACATCAGCAGAATATGTCCTCTTGAAAAAAGAAATACCAAATACTTCACTATAATGTCAGATTAAAAAAAGAGTAAATCACTAACATAAAGAAGCACCAAACAAAACAAAAGCAAAGTGCAGGTAAAGAAACATAACTCCATGTTTTTGCCCCGACATAATGGTGTGTTTTGAGTTATATTCCTCATGTTTTAACTTAATTTATCCTTGAGATGTTTAGTGTATTTGCTCAAACACATGATAGGCTAAGGGGGCGGGACTTCTCTAAGCGGTTGACCAATTACAATAGAGCTACAAAATAATGTCGTATAGGAAAAAGAGGTAAATCTTTAAAGGTCCCATGTCATGGCCATTTCTACTGATCATAATTCCATTGTTGAGGTCTACTAGAATACATTTACATTGTGCAATGTTCCAAACTCACATTGGTTTCTCATACAGCATCTCTGTATAGTATGTGTATTCACTCTCTGTCCTACACGGCTTGTTGGAGCTCCTGCCCCCCCCCCCCCTCCTCCCTGTGAGCCCAGTGGCCGTCTGCGAGACAGCGAGACACAGCGAAACCCAGCCTGGGCACACACACACCCGCAGCCTGGCTGAGAGTTTGTGTGTGTGCACAGGCTGAGTTCCCCGGTGTCTCGCTGTCTCGCTGACCCCACACCAGTGAGCCAGCTCACAGTGTCCCGCTCCTCGCAGCAGCGAGCCTCGCAACGTCCCGCTGAGTGTGTGTGTCTGAGGAAGTCCGCGGATTGGTCCAAACGTAACGGCTCCGCGGAGGTAACGTAACGGCTCCGCGGACGTAACTATACCCGAAATACGTCACAGAACCCAGGAAGCAAACAATGGAAAAAGAGAAATCCCCAACGAGGCGTTCTGGGGCAGCATAGACAGGTCTTCTCTGTGTTAGAGTTTTACTCTCTACAGGGTGTACTTTGAGGGTTTGTGACTCTGCAGACCGTTTACATGCAGAAGCTTCATAACACAAGGGGACGGGTAATAACCAGAAAAGCATGACATGGGACCTTTAACATAAAGAAGAACCAAACTAAACTAAAGCAACAACATTTCGTGTTTTTGCTCCTACATAATGTTGTTCTTGTTATATATAAACCTTGACCTCTGAGCTCTCGGATGCACTCGGTTTTTTTGTATATTGTGTTTTGGGGTTTTTACTCCTATAGTGTTTTTAAGTTCCATTCCTCATGTTTTAACTCGTGTGTTTGAGTCTCTGAGCTCTCGGATGAACTCAGTTGTTGTGTGTATTGTGTGTGTTCAGGAGAGCCAGGCTGAGGTTCTCCGGCTGCAGAAGCAGAAAGAGGAACTCTGCGCTCAGATCCGGGACCTCAGCCTCCCGGTGGATCTGGCCTCTGATTCGCTGCCCGACCTCAAGAAGCAACAGCGCCTCCTGGAGGCCGAAGTGAGCGAGAAGAGGGAGGAGATCTGCACGCTTTCTGCCAAGATACAGAAGCAGCAACAGGTACAAAGAACATTTAGGGGGATGCTTCATTTAGTCAAGTACTGTACCGTTCAGTAAAAGGTTGATGATAAAAAATATATGATTCTGAAAAAGGCTATTGAGTACTTTTACTTTTACCTTGAGTGCTTTAGATAGATATATTTTAGTAACGTTTACTTCAACGACTTCTTCCCCTCTCCTCTCTCAGGTCCACATGCGCTTTGAGATGGAGATGGAGAGGATGAAGCAGATGCATCAGAAGGAGTTGGAGGATAAAGAGGAAGAGTTGGAGGACGTGCACAAGTCTTCTCAGAGAAGGGTACGTTAACACAGTACAAGTGTTAATGGCACCGTTAGAAAGAAGTTACACATTCAGAAAAAAGGGCAGAATTCAGAAAAAAAGTAAAGATTACAAAAAGAATAGTGGATTCTGAAGAACATGAGAACATTCGGAAAAAAGTCATAATACATTAAAAAAAATTAATTCGGAAAAATCTGAAAAAAAAGTCAGGATTCTGAAAAAAGACCGAGTACTGAAACAAAATGCAAATTCTGAAAAAAATGGAAATTCTGAAAAATAATGGTTCCTGAAAAAGTCTGAGTACAAATACAAATCTGATTTTGAAAGAAAGTCAAAAATCTGGCAAAAGAAAATTGGGATTCTGAAAAAAATCAGAATTCACGAATAAAATATTTATTGAAAAACTAAAAAGAAAACGTGATTTACAAAAAGAATATTACAAAACTTTATCCGTTTTCTGCAGAGAAACAACAATAGAAAGAAACAGAAAGTGGACCTTTGTGTTGAGATCATTTGGCAGAGTTATAATTCAAATCTCAACGATGTTAGACGTTTGGGAACTCAGTATTGAAACCTTGATAAATGCTTTTAAAATGGCCTCTTTTGTCGTTAAAATAGTACAAAATATTTCTATTGAAAGCATCAATCCTTTTCAGTGAAAATCCTCTGAACTGAACCCTTTTGTTTTGTGCAGACGGCTCTTTTTAAACGTCCTTCCTCGCCTGAAAGGAATCAGACTCTTTTCACTAAGTCTTTGTTTGTCTTTCATAATGTTATGCAACCACATAATAATAATAATAATAATATATTTAATTAATATAGCGCTTTTTAAGATACACAAAGACGCTTTATAAAAATCACAAATTGCTCAGATGGAAGTTACATCACTTCTCTGCAGTTACAGCGACAAACACACACACACACACACACACACACACAAACACACACACACACACACACACACACACACACACACACACACACACACACACACACCACAAATGCTGGTGTTTACACACAAATTATGATGTTTTTATGCCGCAGGGAACACTTCAGGGCCAATAAATGCCAGTTCAGACCCACCATCCATCCATTTATTATATTGTGTGTGTGTGTGTGTGTGTGTGTGTGTGTATGTGTGTGTGTGTGTGTGTGTGTGTGTGTGTGTGTGTGTGTGTGTCTGTGTGTGTGTGTGTGTGTGTGTGTGTGTGTGTGTGTGTGTGTGTGTGTGTGTGTGTGTGTGTGTATGTGTGTGTGTGTAGCTGAGGCAGTTGGAGATGCAGTTGGAGCAGGAGTACGAGGAGAAGCAGATGGTGATTCATGAGAAGCACGACTTGGAGGGACTCATAGCAACTCTGTGTGATCAGGTATCCCATCGTACATTGTATTTATTATTATAGTGAGTAATGTTTTCTAGTGGATAAATGTCATTCTCACATTACAGGCAACATACAACAAGCGTGTTCTGCAAAAAGGTGGCAGATAATTTAGTGTTGTCCTAGTTTTGAAGGGTTTACAGAGGGGGATTTCATTGCGAAAATTTACTTTTTGGGATGAATCTCCAAAAAACAAGACAGAGTTTAGGCTATTTTGCTTCCATAACATAGGTTCTTTCAGACTAGTTGAAATAAAACATACATACTCTAAAGGCGGCTAATGTTGGGCTATAAAGGAACTACAGCACGGTCACATGACTTCACGTCACCACCGCTAAGCTAAATGTGGCTAATGTTGGGCTATAAAGGAACTACAGCACGGTCACATGACTTCACGTCACCACCGCTAAGCTAAAGGTGGCTAATGTTGGGCTATAAAGGAACTACAGCACGGTCACATGACTTCACGTCACCACCGCTAAGCTAAATGTGGCTAATGTTGGGCTATAAAGGAACTACAGCACGGTCACATGACTTCACGTCACCACCGCTAAGCTAAAGGTGGCTAATGTTGGGCTATAAAGGAACTACAGCACGGTCACATGACTTCACGTCACCACCGCTAAGCTAAAGGCGGCTAATGTTGGGCTATAAAAGAACTACAGCACGGTCACATGACTTCACGTCACCACCGTTAAGCAAAAGGAGGCTAATGTTGGGCTATAAAAGAACTACAGCACGGTCACATGACTTCACGTCACCACCGCTAAGCTAAATGTGCCTAATGTTGGGCTATAAAGGAACTACAGCACGCTCACATGACTTCATTTCACCACCGCTAAGCTAAATGTGGCTAATGTTGGGCTATAAAGGAACTACAGGTATTTACTGATGTATTTTATGTCGTAGAACGAAACATTAAAATCTCCTCATCTTGTATTAACCACAGACCTTATTTCAGGATAATAACCTGGGTTTTAGGACTCATTCCTGCACCTCTCTCCCTGCAGGTGGGGCACAGGGACTTCGATGTGGAAAAGAAGTTGAGGCGGGATCTGAAGAGGACCCACGCTCTGCTGGCCGACGCTCAGCTGCTCCTCTCCACCGTGGATAACCCGGGTCAGAACTTCTCCAATGGCAGCAGAGAGAACATAGAGAGGCTGCACTGCCAGGTAACCTCACCTGAACACTCACCTGAACAAAACAAATTCTGAAAAAAGTAAAACAAATACAATTCGGAATTTTGAAAATACATTTTGAAAAAAAGTCAGAAATCTGAAAATAATCGGGATTCTAAAGAACATGAAAACATTCTGAAACAAGTCATAATGAAAAAAAAATAATCTCAAAATTCTGAAAAAAGTTTTTAAAAATCCTGAAAAAAGTCGGATTTCTAAAAAAAAAACGGGATTCTGAAATAAATGAAAAACGGAAACAGCAGCAAGGAGCACGTAGAGCGGCTGCCTGCCAGGTAACCTCACCTGAACACTCACCTGATCACTCACCTGATCACTCACCTGATCACTCACCTGATCACTCACCTGAACACTCACCTGATCACTCACCTGAACACTCACCTGATCACTCACCTGATCACTCACCTGAACACTCACCTGAACACTCACCTGTACACTCACCTGAACACTCACCTGAACACTCACCTGCACACTCACCTGATCACTCACCTGAACACTCACCTGAACACTCACCTGAACACTCACCTGTACACTCACCTGAACACTCACCTGAACACTCACCTGTACACTCACCTGAACACTCACCTGATCACTCACCTGAATACTCACCTGTACACTCACCTGAACACTCACCTGAACACTCATCTGTACACTCATCTGAATACTCACCTGTACACTCACCTGAACACTCATCTGTACACTCATCTGAATACTCACCTGAACACTCACCTGTACACTCACCTGAACACTCACCTGAACACTCACCTGTACACTCACCTGAACACTCACCTGATCACTCATCTGTACACTCATCTGAATACTCACCTGTACACTCACCTGAACACTCACCTGAACACTCACCTGTACACTCACCTGTACACTCACCTGAACACTCACCTGAACACTCACCTGAACACTCACCTGAACACTCACCTGATCACTCACCTGAACACTCACCTGAACACTCACCTGTACACTCACCTGAACACTCACCTGAACACTCACCTGATCACTCACCTGAATACTCACCTGTGCACTCACCTGAACACTCACCTGAACACTCACCTGAACACTCACCTGTACACTCATCTGTACACTCACCTGAACACTCACCTATACACTCACCTGATCACTTACCTGAACACTCACCTGAACACTCACCTGAACACTCACCTGATCACTCACCTGAACACTCACCTGTACACTCACCTGTACACTCACCTGAACACTCACCTGAACACTCACCTGAACACTCACCTGAACACTCACCTGTACACTCACCTGTACACTCACCTGAACACTCATTGAACCTATTATTATTATGATTGTTCAGCTGGAGGCGAGCGAGGCGGTGCGTCTGGAGGCAGAAAGTCTGCAGACGACTTTATCTCAGGAGCTGGAGAACTGTCAGATCGAGCTGGAGAACATCTGCAAGCAGAAGAGCATGGTGAGCACTTCCTGTCTGTCTTCTTCTGCTGTTCCCTTAAGTGTTTACTTCCTGTCTGTCTTCTTCTGCTGTTCCCTTAAGTGTTTACTTCCTGTCTGTCTTCTTCTGCTATTCCCTTAAGTGTTTACTTCCTGTCTGTCTTCTTCTGCTGTTCCCTTAAGTGTTTACTTCATGTCTGTCTTCTTCTGCTGTTCCCTTAAGTGTTTACTTCCTGTCTGTCTTCTTCTGCTGTTCCCTGTAGTGTTTACTTCCTGTCTGTCTTCTTCTGCTGTTCCCTTTAGTGTTTACTTCCTGTCTGTCTTCTTCTGATGTTCCCTGTAGTGTTTACTTCCTGTCTGTCTTCTTCTGCTGTTCCCTTAAGTGTTTACTTCCTGTCTGTCTTCTTCTGCTGTTCCCTTTAGTGTTTACTTCCTGTCTGTCTTCTTCTGCTGTTCCCTGTAGTGTTAGCCATCATCTCCACAAATATAAAATGAATATTCCAAAGGTTTTCCGTGGTGTTTTCCAATGGATGAAAACTAAAAATGTAATAAGTGTTGATAATGACCTCTCCTCCTCCTCCTCTCCTCCTCTCCTCCTCTCCTCCTCCTCCTTTTCTTCCTGTTTCCAGGTGGATGAACAGTTGTCTATGCTTCAGCACGAGAAGGTGGACTTCCTGAAGAGACTGGAGGAAGACCAGGAGGATCTGAACGAGTTGATGAAGAAGCACAAAGCTCTGATCGCTCAGGTACCGCTCACTTCCTGTCTCTCTTTGCTTTACATCAGTCACTTCCTGTCTCTCTTTGCTTTACATCAGTCACTTCCTGTCTCTCTTTGCTTTACATCAGTCACTTCCTGTTGTAATCCTGATCTTTAATCTGAGCTCCTTTCTGCTTCAGTCCTCCAGCGATATCTCTCAGATCAGAGAGCTGCAGGCGGAGCTGGAGGAGGTGAAGAAGGAGAGATACGTCCTGCAGGAGGAGGTGAGCAGCGTGGAGGATAAGAGCTTTATATACAGAGAGGGCAAAGTACACACATCCTTTATTCAAGTAGAAGTTCAGATACTCGTGTTTAAAAATACTCTGGTGAAAGTAGAAGTACTGACTAAACTTCTTTACTCAAGTCAAAGTAAAGAGGCTTTGAAATGTACTTCAGTAAAAAGTACCCATAACTAGCAGCTGTTTTAAAGAGTACCTGACCTCCCTTTATATTAATAGAACAATAATGTCATTGTTAGCTAATGAATGTTTCCATGCTGAACAACGGCAACATGACAACGTTTTCATTGGTCCCTCTTCTTTAGAGAAGACCAGGAAATGATGGATACACGGATCGTGTTCAAATCAATAGGCACGCAATGACTCTAAATAATAATGATCACGCCACCAAACACACATTCAAACTAAAGGAACCAGCCTGTTTGGAAAATGTGAGAAGTAGAAAGTACAGGTATTTGGGTTCAACATGTGAGAAGTAGAAAGTACAGGTATTTGTGTTCAACATGTGAGAAGTAGAAAGTACAGGTATTTGTGTTCAACATGTAAGAAGTAGAAAGTACAGGTATTTGGGTTCAACATGTAAGAAGTAGAAAGTACAGGTATTTGAGTTCAACATGTAAGAAGTAGAAAGTACAGGTATTTGTGTTCAACATGTAAGAAGTAGAAAGTACAGGTATTTGAGTTCAACATGTGAGAAGTAGAAAGTACAGGTATTTGAGTTCAACATGTGAGAAGTAGAAAGTACAGGTATTTGTGTTCAACATGTAAGAAGTAGAAAGTACAGGTATTTGAGTTCAACATGTAAGAAGTAGAAAGTACAGGTATTTGTGTTCAACATGTAAGAAGTAGAAAGTACAGGTATTTGAGTTCAACATGTAAGAAGTAGAAAGTACAGGTATTTGTGTTCAACATGTAAGAAGTAGAAAGTACAGGTATTTGTGTTCAACATGTAAGAAGTAGAAAGTACAGGTATTTGTGTTCAACATGTAAGAAGTAGAAAGTACAGGTATTTGTGTTCAACATGTAAGAAGTAGAAAGTACAGGTATTTGAGTTCAACATGTAAGAAGTAGAAAGTACAGGTATTTGAGTTCAACATGTGAGAAGTAGAAAGTACAGGTATTTGTGTTCAACATGTAAGAAGTAGAAAGTACAGGTATTTGTGTTCAACATGTAAGAAGTAGAAAGTACAGGTATTTGTGTTCAACATGTGAGAAGTAGAAAGTACAGGTATTTGTGTTCAACATGTGAGAAGTAGAAAGTACAGGTATTTGTGTTCAACATGTGAGAAGTAGAAAGTTCAGGTATTTGTGTTCAACATGTAAGAAGTAGAAAGTACAGGTATTTGTGTTCAACATGTGAGAAGTAGAAAGTACAGGTATTTGTGTTCAACATGTGAGAAGTAGAAAGTACAGGTATTTGTGTTCAACATGTAAGAAGTAGAAAGTACAGGTATTTGTGTTCAACATGTGAGAAGTAGAAAGTACAGGTATTTGTGTTCAACATGTAAGAAGTAGAAAGTACAGGTATTTGTGTTCAACATGTGAGAAGTAGAAAGTACAGGTATTTGTGTTCAACATGTAAGAAGTAGAAAGTACAGGTATTTGAGTTCAACATGTGAGAAGTAGAAAGTACAGGTATTTGTGTTCAACATGTAAGAAGTAGAAAGTACAGGTATTTGTGTTCAACATGTAAGAAGTAGAAAGTACAGGTATTTGTGTTCAACATGTGAGAAGTAGAAAGTACAGGTATTTGTGTTCAACATGTGAGAAGTAGAAAGTACAGGTATTTGTGTTCAACATGTGAGAAGTAGAAAGTTCAGGTATTTGTGTTCAACATGTAAGAAGTAGAAAGTACAGGTATTTGTGTTCAACATGTGAGAAGTAGAAAGTACAGGTATTTGTGTTCAACATGTGAGAAGTAGAAAGTACAGGTATTTGTGTTCAACATGTAAGAAGTAGAAAGTACAGGTATTTGTGTTCAACATGTGAGAAGTAGAAAGTACAGGTATTTGTGTTCAACATGTAAGAAGTAGAAAGTACAGGTATTTGTGTTCAACATGTAAGAAGTCAAAGTAAAAAGTCGTCAGAAAAATAAGTAGTGGAGTAAAGTACTGATACCAGAAAAAGTACTTAAGTACAGAAACAAAGTATTTGTACTCCAATACTTCCCACCTCTGTTTATGTGATGGAGCATTAAACTCAGATATCACTGTGACAGTAGGCGGAGCATTACCTGAAGTAAAAGTCCAAATACTCCATAAAAAGCTAAAGTTATGTGACAAAATCTCCCTTAACTAAAAGTAGACATCAGAAAAATGAACGTAAAGTATCAAAAGTCAATTTGTGATATACATATATCTATATATATATAGATATATGTATGTTTACATTAATTAATTAAAACATTAAATAAAGAAAATAAACATTAACAGTGAAATAGTAGAGTATCTCTGTCAAATAATCAAATACGCAATATAAATATATAGAATAAATATAATGGTATGTGTTTTAATGCAAAACCATACTTGGAAAAGTACACAACATTAAAAGGTACATTATTTTCCGTGTGTTGAAATAACCAGATCTCATGGTGACGACAAGCTGCAGGTGGAGCACTCATTTCATATTCTCTGATGAATAGCTGCCTTATTGTTGCTTTTTTAATGTAATGTTTTTGTCTCCTCCTCCTCCTCCTCCTCCTCCTCCTCCTCCTCCTCCTCCTCTTCCTCCCCATGCAGTTGCAGCAGCGTGTTTCCAGGGTGCAGTTCCTTGAGTCCTCCACTGTGGGGCGCAGCATCGTCAGCAAACAAGAAGCCCGAGTGTGTGACCTGGAGAACAAGCTGGAGTTTCAGAGAGGACAGGTCAAGAGGTTCGAGGTGAGGAAACACATTTCATCCTGACTGACTCCATTCCTGAGAGGAAAAGAATAGAGAGAGAGATATTTGAGCAGTTTGTTTATGTATTTGTGTATAGATGTTGCAACTACACAGAGCTTTAGCAATACTGTATGTAACTATGGTCATGCTAATAAAGCTATTGAATTGAATTGAATAGAGAGATAGAGAGGTGAGATAGAGAGAGAGAGAGGGGGGGGGAGAGAGAGAGGGGGGGGGAGAGAGAGAGAGAGATTTGTCATGCTTTGCTTTCTGTTATTTTGTCTGTAAGACGTTGCTTTTGTCGGGACCCCCTTGAAAACGAGATGGTGCATCTCAAGGGGTTTCTCCTAATGAATAAATGTCTATATAAGGGGTAGATTTGACTCTAAAGCTATGTTTTAATTGCATTGTTCAGGTGCTGGTGTTGCGTTTGAGGGACAGCGTGGTGCGTTTAGGGGAAGAACTGGAGCAGAGCGCCGAGGCCGAGGCGAGGGAACGAGAAAACGCCAAATACTACCAGCAGCGTCTGCAGGACATGAGGGTGGAGGCGGAGGATCTGGTCCAGAGAGAGCAGGGCAGCAGCCGCAGGCGCATGGAGCTGGTACACACACACACACACACACACACACACACACACACACACACACACACACACAACGTTACACAACATCACACAAACACAACATCACACAAACACAACATCACACAACGTTACACAACATCACACAACATCACACAAACACTACATCACACAAACACAACATCACACAACATTACACAAACACAACGTTACACAACATCACACAACATCACACAAACACAACATTACACCTGAAACACAACATTACACAACATTAAACAAACACAACATTAAACAACACCTGAAACACACCTAAACCCTTCACACTCATCATGGGGAAAACAGGCTGCAACAGGCATGATAAACCTGTTCAACCCGGAGGCCCCGCCCCCTTTTTTTCACGAAACTGTGTCTCAAGGCAAGGCAAGGCAAGGCAAGTTTATTTATATAGCACCTTTCAACACAAGGCAATTCAAAGTGCTTTACAAAAAAGTCTCAGGGCTTCTTAACATTTAAAAACCTATTAATCATACCCACTTAACGGGAAGAAACTCAGCTAACTGACGATATGAACCATTTTTACCGAAACAAAACACAAGTCTCACAAGAAGCGTCTAAATGAGCCCTGAGCGAAAAAATGCTAACACACTTTTTATACCTCGAGCACAGAACTCTAGGTATAATAAATACCCTTATTACATATCGGATCTGCACAACAAGATATTGATTAGCAAGCTGAGATTTCACAGATTCTAGGGGTATAAGTATCATCACTGAGCGATCAGAACTTGCAACAGGGGAAGCAAACACAGACATCACAACACGGAGCTTTACGGAGCAAAAATGGGACATTGTCTTACCTATGCTGTTGTTCTGATCAAAAGTCGTGTTCAATGGCATCAAAACGATAACAACGCTGCTGAAGGGTAATCCATACGTTAATCCATAGGTTAATCCATAGGTTAATCAATGTGTCTGAAATGATTACTGATAATCCATCTTCATATTTATGTCAATAACGGAGTTTTCATATATAGTTGAGCTACGAGTGTATGACAGCTTCCGAGTTTGGGCATTCTGGCTACGCATCACTCATTCACCAATGGGTCATGTTTAGATGGATTTTAGGAACCTCCCCTCGATTCTATTGGCTCTAACGGTCAGAAAGAGGTGTCAACCATCAAAATCGAACGAGGGGGCCAGAGATATGGAAAATTCACCCAAATGGCCCCAGAAGTGGGTTTTTCTCTCTCTAAAAAGGTCAAAGGTCACTTGTTTTGCATCAATCTTGATACAGGGTACTTATTATATGTTGTACTTTGGATTCCTAAAGCTTTTAGTCTACTATCCCATCATTCAAGGGTGGTTTTCACTATAAGTAATGTTGTTTTTTTTGGACGGACACTATAATTTAATTTTTTTTACTATGTAAAATCTGAATTTACTTTAAAATAAAAAACATCTATATTGATTCTGACTTTTCTACATCCAACTCACAGGTTTATCATTACTTTGAGAAAAAAGATTATTAATTTAACCCTTTTAGAAGTTAAGATATGGTCATTTGTTCTGGGAATGTCATTTCTAGCCTGAGACCTGAACAACAGGCTCAGGGCTTAACTGGTGAACTAAATCTAAAACTAAATGTGTGCGTGCGTGCGTGCGTGCGTGCGTGCGTGCATTAAAGAGCACACACCCTTCCTCCAGGCTGTGAGGGAACAACATCTCCTCTGTTCAAAATCAACAGCTGCTGCGTTTTCTGCAACATTACCAAACATCACTTTCATTTCTGCACAGGTTTGATCAGAGGCACAGGCTTTCTGCACTTTAATACCTTCAAAACTTCTTCTCTGAGACGCTGAGGTGTTTGAAAAGCTTATTGCAGTAATCATGTTTAAGTTCAACAGCATTTGGTCAGAATATAGACTGTAAAGATCCGCTCTGAGTTCAGTAAATGAGCTGATGCACGCCTCGATTCAAACATATGTACCTTTAATACATCTGATATGACCTTTGGTATCATTAAGGTCAGTTATAGGTCATGAATGCAGCGTTTATGTATAATTAATAGACAATCAGTACATTCAATTAAATATATGTGAACTCTAAGAAGGCACAGCTTTCACTGTATCATCTGAGCCTCATATTGATGATTCTTTTGTATTATTTGGAGCTATTTTAGGTCTTATTTCTATCGTTAATACAAATAATAATAGTCATATTAATTTAAAAAGAAAGGACTCCATTATATCCACAAAATAGAAAGAAGCCTTTAATAAATGTTCTGCTGGTTACCCTCAGAGTTTCATGTTCCTCCTCAGAGCAGATTTACCCGTGACCTCTGAGCAAACGAGAAGGAGCCTCAACAATTATTCAGTTATTAGCACAAAGAGACACACACACACACACACACACACACACACACACACACACACACACACCATGTATACATCACTTCAGGGGACATTACATTGACTTACATGCATTTCCTGGAGACTTATCCTAACCTTAACCATAACCAACACATGCCTAACCCTAACCAAGTCTTCATCCTAAAATTAATGATTCCCCTCATGGGGTCCTCCATTATGTCCCCATGAGGGAGGCGAGTCCCCACACCTGACTGTGTAAACAGATTTAGGTCCCCACAAGGATAGTAATGCTAGGCCACACACACACACACACACACACACACACACACACACACACACACACACACACACATACACACATACACACACACACACACACATACACACATACACACACACACACACACACACACACATACATACACACATACACACACACACACACACACACACAGCCTGCTGCATGAATAGACATATTCATACACACACACATGTTCACACACTCCTCCTCCGCCCACCTCTTAACGTCATATCTCGCTCATCCTGCTTTCCCTCTCTGACTGTGATTAATCCTCATTGTCTCTTCAAGGTTATGGACACACACACACGCACACACACACACATTCCTACTTGGTTATGTGTCTCTATGACAACCGCTGCACCCACACCCGTCTCCTCAAAGCCAACAAGCCAATAACTTTGAAAGCCTAGATGCCAGTGTGTGTGTGTGTGTGTGTGTGTGTGTGTGTGTGTGTGTGTGTGTGTGTGTGTGTGTGTGTGTGTGTGTGTGTGTGTGTGTGAGGACATGCCATTGGACTCGGTGTTTGACTGATGAGGTAATATAGGGTGGAGGAAGGTAATTGCTGAGACAGATTGGGCCGCAGGGTTTTTACAGGTTGTCGGGGAAATGAAAACACACATCTGGCCTCATGAAGGTGAGCGTGTCAACAAACACCCTTTAAAGGAACAACGAGTGTGTAGGTTACAGTTTGTAAACACACAATTAAAAGGTTAAACAGGGATTAAAGAGGACATGTTCTGCTGATGTTCAGGTATATCAGTATGTAGTGTCTCTACTTTAAAGAGTCCTCTCCTGCTGATGTTCAGGTGTATATCAGTATGTAGTGTCTCTACTTTAAAGAGTTCTCTCTTGCTGATGTTCAGGTGTATATCAGTATGTAGTGTCTCTACTTTAAAGAGTCCTCTCCTGCTGATGTTCAGGTGTATATCAGTATGTAGTGTCTCTACTTTAAAGAGTTCTCTCTTGCTGATGTTCAGGTGTATATCAGTATGTAGTGTCTCTACTTTAAAGAGTCCTCTCCTGCTGATGTTCAGGTGTATATCAGTATGTAGTGTCTCTACTTTAAAGAGTCCTCTCCTGCTGATGTTCAGGTGTATATCAGTATGTAGTGTCTCTACTTTAAAGAGTCCTCTCCTGCTGATGTTCAGGTGTATATCAGTATGTAGTGTCTCTACTTTAAAGAGTCCTCTCCTGCTGATGTTCAGGTGTATATCAGTATGTAGTGTCTCTACTTTAAAGAGTCCTCTCCTGCTGATGTTCAGGTGTATATCAGTATGTAGTGTCTCTACTTTAAAGAGTCCTCTCCTGCTGATGTTCAGGTGTATATCAGTATGTAGTGTCTCTACTTTAAAGAGTCCTCTCCTGCTGATGTTCAGGTGTATATCAGTATGTAGTGTCTCTACTTTAAAGAGTTCTCTCTTGCTGATGTTCAGGTGTATATCAGTATGTAGTGTCTCTACTTTAAAGAGTCCTCTCCTGCTGATGTTCAGGTGTATATCAGTATGTAGTGTCTCTACTTTAAAGAGTCCTCTCCTGCTGATGTTCAGGTGTATATCAGTATGTAGTGTCTCTACTTTAAAGAGTCCTCTCCCGCTGATGTTCAGGTGTATATCAGTATGTAGTGTCTCTACTTTAAAGAGTCCTCTCCTGCTGATGTTCAGGTGTATATCAGTATGTAGTGTCTCTACTTTAAAGAGTCCTCTCCTGCTGATGTTCAGGTGTATATCAGTATGTAGTGTCTCTACTTTAAAGAGTCCTCTCCTGCTGATGTTCAGGTGTATATCAGTATGTAGTGTCTCTACTTTAAAGAGTCCTCTCCTGCTGATGTTCAGGTGTATATCAGTATGTAGTGTCTCTACTTTAAAGAGTCCTCTCCTGCTGATGTTCAGGTGTATATCAGTATGTAGTGTCTCTACTTTAAAGAGTCCTCTCCTGCTGATGTTCAGGTGTATATCAGTATGTAGTGTCTCTACTTTAAAGAGTCCTCTCCTGCTGATGTTCAGGTGTATATCAGTATGTAGTGTCTCTACTTTAAAGAGTCCTCTCCTGCTGATGTTCAGGTGTATATCAGTATGTAGTGTCTCTACTTTAAAGAGTCCTCTCCTGCTGATGTTCAGGTGTATATCAGTATGTAGTGTCTCTACTTTAAAGAGTCCTCTGCTGCTGATGTTCAGGTGTATATCAGTATGTAGTGTCTCTACTTTAAAGAGTCCTCTCCTGCTGATGTTCAGGTGTATATCAGTATGTAGTGTCTCTACTTTAAAGAGTCCTCTCCTGCTGATGTTCAGGTGTATATCAGTATGTAGTGTCTCTACTTTAAAGAGTTCTCTCTTGCTGATGTTCAGGTGTATATCAGTATGTAGTGTCTCTACTTTAAAGAGTTCTCTCTTGCTGATGTTCAGGTGTATATCAGTATGTAGTGTCTCTACTTTAAAGAGTCCTCTCCTGCTGATGTTCAGGTGTATATCAGTATGTAGTGTCTCTACTTTAAAGAGTCCTCTGCTGCTGATGTTCAGGTGTATATCAGTATGTAGTGTCTCTACTTTAAAGAGTCCTCTCCTGCTGATGTTCAGGTGTATATCAGTATGTAGTGTCTCTACTTTAAAGAGTCCTCTCCTGCTGATGTTCAGGTGTATATCAGTATGTAGTGTCTCTACTTTAAAGAGTCCTCTTCTGCTGATGTTCAGGTGTATATCAGTATGTAGTGTCTCTACTTTAAAGAGTCCTCATGTGTGTTTTGCAGGAGATGCAGGTGGAGGAGCTGAGCGCCGTCAGACAGGCATTACAAGCCGACCTTGAAACATCGATCCGTCGCATCGTTGACCTTCAGGCGGCGCTGGAGGAAGTGGAGTCGAGCGATGAGAGCGACTCTGAGAGGTAACTTGACTTTAAAGTAAACATCTTCCTCCTCAAACATGATCATTTCTGTTTCTGTAAACTCACCCTCTCACCGCTCTGCCCTTCACTCCAGTGTGAGAACTGCTGTGACGTCCTTGGGTCAAAAGAAAGACCTGTAAGACCCTGAATGTGTGTGTGAGTGTGTGTGTGTGTGTGTATGTGTATGTGTGTGTGTGTGTGTGTATGTGTGTGTGTGTGTGTGCGTGCGTGCGTGTGTGCGTGCGCGTGTGCGTGCGTGTGTGCGTGCGTGCGTGTGTGTCTTGGACATTGCATCAGGCCTTGAAGTGTCATCGTTTAAACCTCTCGTTATGATAACGCTGAAAAGAAGGATAATTCTGGTCTATTTGTAGTTCTGGCCATCATTTTTATCATTGATAATCAAATTAAACCCCAAAATGTTATAATTACTTAAAGAAATGTGTTGGAAAGATGGCCAAAACTACGATAATTGGACTATAATGTCCGTAATTATCCTTTAAAGTGACTCTTGAAATCGGCTATGTGCATGGTTACTCAGTCCTTGCACCACAGCATTTACTCCATTTAAACCCATCATAAATCGATGTTTAAAAAAAATGTTTTCTAATTCAAAGGCATAAGAAATGGTTAAAAATGTGAATAACAACGTGCTATAATATATGTCGTACATGCTAATATATATAAGTGTCTTTATGCTGATATACAAATCAATGAATGGAAATCAATGGTTGCCTGGGTGATGAGGAAAGTAGCATTCATTGATATGAATTATACAGCATATTTCTATAATGATGGCATGAGTATTGGCACGTCTGCAATCCCATGTGTCGCCAGCTCAGATTTGTGAGTAGATGGTTAGCATTAGCGATAGCGTCTTCAACCTATTATTTATTCTACTAACTGGTTGGTTTTATCCTTGTGGCTTTGACATGCTTAATGGGAATACAAAGCTTCTCCCAGATGATGTTGTTATTATTATTATTTTGGCTGGAAAATAATGCAAGAGCATGGAAAGAAAAAGACAAACTTGATGATTCAACTGCGACTCAAACGACAGTATGGCCTCTGACAGAAAGAAAACAACACATTTTGGTTGTTGAACTATTTTGAGATAAAAGTCAGAATCTGTGAAAAAAAAGTCACAATTCTGAAATTTTGAGAAAAATCTTTTTTTTTAAGTCTGATTTCTGAGATTTTGAGAAAAAGTCATATTTCACAAAAAAGTCAGATTTCTGAGATTTGGAGATAAAAGTAATATTTCTGAAAGGAAAAAAAGTCAGAATTTTGACATTATAAAAAAAAGTCCGAATTTTAGGGGGAAAAGTCATAATTCTGAAAATGTTGACTTTTCTCATAATTCAACTGCGACTCAAACGACAGTATGGCCTCTGACAGAAAGAAAACAACACATATTGGTTGTTGAACTATTTTTGAGATAAAAGTCACAATTTTGAAATGTAGAGAAAAAAGTCAAAATTGTGAGATTTCTGAAAAATTCTAAATTGTGACTTTTCTCAGAATTCACTCAAACTGCAGTATGGCCCTCAACACATATTGGTCGGTGAACTACGGTTTCAAAGCCTCAAGTTTGGCCATTTGAATGTTTTTTAACCCCAGAACTGAATCGAGAGGGTGCTTAAAACATGCATAGAACAACAAATAGCTTATAATTAACGTTCATGAAGTTGAACGGAGTCGTTGACAGTTTGTCTGCAGAATGGAAGTGCCTGCATGCGCGTGGTGAAGCTAATGTTCTGCAGAGTCTCCGTTGTGATAAAGTGTGATTCCTCTCTGCAGCGACTCGGTCTCTAGCGTCGGGACAGAGGACGTTGGAGAGGGGATCCGTCATTGGTTAGGAGTTCCCAGAGGGGGGTCCCGTGGGGCGGGGTCTCCCAACGGCAGCAGTACCATCAGCAGCCAGGGGGGGCGCCAGTCTTTGGCCGACACCATGAGCACCTACAGCTTCAGGTAAGCTTGTTAATTTTAACAAGTTAGAATTCCAACAAAAGTCATAATTTTGCGATTTAAAAAAAAAGTCAGTTTTGAAAAAAAAGGCATAATTTTGCAAAAAGGCATAATTTTGGATTATGTTTAGATTCAGAAAAAAGTCAGAATTTTGTAAAAAAAAAGCCCGAATTTTGAGATTTGGAAAAAAGTCAGAATAAAAAAAAGTCAACATTTTGAGAATAAAAAAATGTCAGAATTGTGCGATTTTGAAAAAAAGTCAGAATTCTGAGAACTCAGAAAAAAAGTCACAATTGCTAGATTGCAAAAGTCAGCATTTTTAGATTTAAAAAAGTCAGAATTCCGAAAAGTCAGAATTTTGAGATTTTGAAAAAAAGTGAGATTTAAAAAGAAAATATCCACATTTTGAGATGCTAAGAAAAAAAATCTGAATTCTGACATTTTGAAAAATAAATTCTGAAAAAAATGGTCTCTCTCACTCTCTGAAGGTCTTGTGTGGAAAAAAAGTCAGAATTCTGAGAAAAAAATTAAAATATCAGATATTTCCAGAAAAAAAATCTGAATTCTGAAAAAAAAAAGTCAGAATTTTAACATATTTGAAGAAAGAAATCAAAGTTCTGAAAAAAAAGTGTTTCTCTCTCTGTGAAGGTCTTGTGAGAATCCCGATGATGATGACGGCTCTGAGTTGGGGGGCAGCAGGGCTGGAGGCAGCAGGGCTGGAGGGGGGGGGCAGCAGGGCTCCGAGTCGGGCCCCCTCCTCCTCCGCCCTCTCAGAGCTGCTCGACGGCCTCCGGAGACGCAGAGCCGGCGGAGACGCAGACGACGGAGCCGGGAGCGCCGTCTCTCTTCCTGTTTATCAAACAACCGCCGCCTCCACCCTCAGACGCCGAGCCTCCGCCCTTTCTCTCGGCCCCGGTGACCTCCAGGAGCCCCGATCCAGCATCCTCAAACCCCCGTCCCCGATAATGCCTCGCTCCATCAGCGCTCGCTCCATCAGCGACGCTCAAACACCTGGAGCTAAACTCTCTCGCTACAACTCCAGCAGTGATTCCCTCTCAGGCGTCCCGTCGCTGCCTCACCTCTCCTCTTTGGGGTCAAACCTCGCCTCCCGCCATCAAACTCCCTCTCTTTGCATCCCAGAAGAAGATCCAGATCAACCACAGCGATCCCGAACCACCTCCATGCAGCAGCGCTCCCCTCAACCCCCGAGGAGGTGCATGCTGGGGAGTCTTTCCACAGAAGATGGAGGGGAAGCATCCCTGGGTTCAGAACCGATGGTGTTTCAGAACAGGAGGCTAATGGAGGGTCGGGAAGACGCGGCGTTAGATATTCTGCCCGCCATCCGGAGAGCGAAGTCCACCAGCAGCCTGACGGGATCTGAGCGAGGAGGACGGAGGGCTCTGAGCGTTCACTTCGGAGAGCTGCCTCCCTCCACCCGGAGCAGGAAGGGATCTGAAACGGACTCCTCGTCATCGGGGGGGTCAGCGGGGAGTTCTCAGGACGGAGGAGGAAGAAGACGGAGGCTCGATGGTCCGCAGGGAGAGAGGCTGGAGGCCGAGGGCAGCGAGGCCGGAGACGTGGCTTCCATCATGAAGAAATACCTGAAGAAGGACACCGACTGAGAAGAGAAGAAGCGCCCTCAGGTGAGGAGACACCATTCAAAGTATTTAATTTAGTTTGCCTCATTAGATCTTTCTTGCCCTAGTGCATACATGGTTCGCTTCATGTCACATTTTCAACTTTATGATAAATTGTTAGCCGTGTTATTGGTGCCACTTTGTCCAATACTTTGGTTTAACATCAAATACCTTTTCCTATATTCTAGTTAGCTGATTTTCAGTATGATTGCACGCTCAGACATGTGAGAAAAATACAAGAAGACGCCATTAATTGTATAAGTCAGAATTTTTTTATTTGGGAAAAAAGTCTGACATTTTGAAAAAAAAATCTGTATTCCAAGATTTAGAGAAAAAAGTCAACATTTTGAAAAAAAACTCTGAATTCTGAGATTTGGAGAAAAAGTCAGGATTCAGAAAAAATGTTGACTGAGAAATCCTGAAACCTGTGACATAGGTTTCTCCAAAATGAGAGCTTGTACTCTGACTAGAGAAGATACAAGTCTCTGACTCGGTGATGTTTGAGTCACTGGTTAAACTCTCAGTGGCGCTTTCACACCGGAGTACTTTTCCCGTTTAGTTCCGATTGGATTTTGCGTTCACACCAAAAAGAGAACTTAGTTCATGAGAACTTTTCCTCCATGTTCAGTCCCTGTTAGAGAGGTGGTACTATCCTGAGGAGAAAAAAGTTCCAATTTCTGATTGGCTGGGCTAATTGCAAACCACGCCCCGTAAATCTCGGAAAAGTTTTGTGAAGCCGCCATTGTATTTGCTGGCATTAGCATTATTAGCATTAGCATTAGCATTAGCCCCGCGCACCAACGGAGAGAGACTAACTTATCGCAACACAAAAAAAAACATTGGAGCGGTGGAGATGAGGAGGTGTCAGCGTTCTGGCGACTCACCTGCTTCTCTGATTCTCTCCTGACCTTCTTGTCTCTTTCTGTTTCTTCCAGCCTCTCTGTGTGAGAGCTCCACAGACTGAAGGCTGAACCAAAACACTTCAGAAGTCCACAAGGAGTGACTTTAACAAAGCCACCTGAAAATACATTTGCACTCAATCAACTGTATTTGCAGATAAGAAACCGTTTGTATTTGAATAAAAAAAAGAAACTAACCCTTTTCTTTGTGATTTTATTCCATGAACTTCCCACTTTTCGCATCATCTTTTATTTGACTAGCAAAAGTACTTCTTATGAAATGCTAATTCTCTCATTTGCAATTTTTTCTCCGTATTTTTTAAGCTGTTTATGCATCAAAAGTTATTCATTTTAATGCAGCTATCAGGGGAATCAAGCCGAGAATCGATCTCTCTTCCGCCCAGCACCCCACGTGAACGGGTATCAGCTGACCTGAGGGGGGGAGCCACACCACTCGCATATTTTCATTTGTATATCATCGCAATATTTGTTTAATTAAACGCTGTTAACTTTTATAAGCTTCCTTGGACTCTTTTCAGCTAATCCTGCTCTCAGGTTTAAATCACCGTTAAGTTTTCAAGATATTTCCTCCAAAACAGCTGATCGGGCGTTTCAATGTGCTAACTCTCTAAAGCCAGCACAGAAAATGTCTTGTTGCTATGGAGATATGTTCCCAGTCTTGCCTTTTTCCTTAATTAATAATGAACTTGTGTTAATGAATACAAATACCCAATAAAATACAGAATTTTACAAAGATCTTGTTTTACTACTGTGTTGTCCTCGGAACGATTTATTGACAAAGATAATGACATTTCATCAGATTACGTTTTCAGACGCTCATATATAGCTCCATCATTAGCACCATTTATAACGAATAAAACAAAGGGCCCATGTCATGCTTTTCCGGTTATTACCCGTCCCCTTGTGTGTTATGAAGGTTTTTATGCATGTAAACGGTCTGCAAAGTCACAAACCCTCAAAGTACACCCTGTAGCGAGTAAAACTCTAACACAGAAAATACCTCCCCAAAACGCCTCGTTGGAGATACGTCATTGTCCATTTGATTCTTCCATTTCGTTCCGGGTATGGCATGACATCATGCCGTACCCGGAACGAAATGGACCAATCTGTGGAGCCGTTACGTCCGCGGAGCCGTTACGTTAAGCCCCTGCTGATTGGTCCAAATTGACCAATCCACTGACTTCCTCACACACACATCTGTGTGCAGGGAGCAGGCAGCTCAGCTGATTTCTCCTCCCTGGCTGCAGGCTGATAACAGACAGTTGGGATTCTCTCTTCAGACCCATCCTCTCTGCAGACCCATTCTCTCTGCAGACCCATTCTCTCTGCAGACCCATTCTCACAGCGTTTATCAACCTTTTTCTTACTCAATATCAAGCCACACTTATTGTTTTTACTTCAGCTGTGAGTTTGTGTGTGCTCAGGATGAGTTTGGCTGTGTTTCGCTATGTATCCTAAACAAGGAAACAACACCTCCACGGAGCTCAGCGCGATTCACAACGTCCCGACCAATCAGAGCACACTGTGCTCACAGGGAGGGTGGGGGCTGGAGCTATTGGAGCTACAATGAGCCGTTAAAGGCAGAGAGTGAAATTCAGTGAATACACGTAGTTTACAGAGATGCTGTATGAGAAACCAATGTGAGTTTGGAGAGATGCTGTATGAGAAACCAATGTGAGTTTGGAGAGATGCTGTTTGAGAAACCAATGTGAGTTTGGAGAGATGCTGTTTGAGAAACCAATGTGAGTTTGGAGAGATGCTGTATGAGAAACCAATGTGAGTTTGGAGAGATGCTGTTTGAGAAACCAATGTGAGTTTGGAGAGATGCTGTGTGAGAAACCAATGTGAGTTTGGAGAGATGCTGTATGAGAAACCAATGTGAGTTTGGAGAGATGCTGTATGAGAAACCAATGTGAGTTTGGAGAGATGCTGTATGAGAAACCAATGTGAGTTTGGAGAGATGCTGTATGAGAAACCAATGTGAGTTTGGAGAGATGCTGTATGAGAAACCAATGTGAGTTTGGAGAGATGCTGTATGAGAAACCAATGTGAGTTTGGAGAGATGCTGTATGAGAAACCAATGTGAGTTTGGAAAAATGCACAATATAAATCTATTCTAGTAGACCTCAACAATGGAATTATGATCAGTGTAAATGGCCATGACATAGGCCCCAAACGTGATAAATGTGAAGCCAAGTGGAGTCGGATATTTAGACTTGTGTTTGACAAACAACAACAATTAGGATGTTAAAAGTGGTGTAAAATAAAAACAAGTCATAAAGAATTTTAGCATTTCCTTTCTTTGAATGACTTTGAGAAAGTAATACATTGTTTTATATCCACTAAACTGGATTACTGCAACGCTCTGTACATTGGAGTAAGCAAGGCTTCCCTGTCTCGCCTACAGCTGGTCCAGAATGCTACTGCGGTCAAGCCAGCCTCCACTTTGGAAAACACAGTCAAGCCAGCATCCGCGTTGTTTTGCGGTGCGCGAATATCCTATGCATTACGGTAGCGGTCTGGAAAAACTGCCTTCAAAATAAAAGTGCTTACTCGATCAATAACAATTTTAGCAAACATATTGAAATATGTACTATATAGGCCTAATGTGATCAATAATAATGTAAGACAAACTACGTATAACTACCACATTATAACTGACTGAATGTAAAACTTAAAGAGTTTCAAAATAAAAGACCTTTGAAGTCTCATATATGAGCTATCATCCCTACATAACAGTAAAACAAAAACTGTCCAGTATCAAATACTTATTTCACTTCAGGGTGATAGCAGGACACACCATCTAGTCACACAGGGAGAATCAGGACAATCTGATGTAGAGTTTCAAAATAAAAGTCCTTTGAAGTCTCATATATGAGCGATGATAGCTCATATATGAGACTTCAAAGGCTCTGTGTCGGTCAAAGTCTGAGCGCTGCTCCTCCTCCTGAATGACTCAGAGTTTGATAAGCCCTCCCTCTCCTTCCTGCTCTCAGACACAGCCAGCTCCACTCTGTGTTTCCTGGCTCCTCCCCTTCAGATCCACACTGAGGAGGAGGGGTGTAACCAACATGTGGGTAAAGCACAAGAGCTGATAGGCCACATTCACCGCCCACACACCTGCTGTTCAGATAACCTGTCACACTAGTTTCAGCTCTCAGGAAGTGAAACTCAGACTCGCTGCTACTGAGAGGTGAAATGGCGCAGAAAGGAGTTCAGCTGGACCGGGAAACCTTCTCTTGTTCGATCTGTCTGGATCTACTGAAGGATCCGGTGACTATCCCCTGTGGACACAGCTACTGCATGGAGTGTATTAAACACCACTGGGATGGAGAGTTAATCCACAGCTGCCCTCAGTGTAGGCAGAGCTTCACACCGAGGCCTGTCCTGCTGAAAAACACCATGTTAGCAGCTTTAGTGGAGGAGCTGAAGAAGACTGGACCCCCACCTGCTCCTGCTGATCACTGCTATGCTGGAGCTGAAGATGTGGCCTGTGATGTCTGCACTGGGAGGAAACTGAGAGCCTGTAAGTCCTGTCTCGTGTGTCTTGTATCTTACTGTGACCAACACCTCCAGTCTCATTATGACGTAGCTCCATTAAAAAAACACAAGTTGGTGGAGCCCTCCAAGAAGCTCC